GCCATGTATGATAGTTCTGCAGCCTTAAAAATTCAAACAAAACTGTATGCAAGTTTCTTTTCTTTTTTTTTGCCGTCTCTACTCTTCATTATTACAAATCTCCGAAATCTCAAGGTGGCCAGCTTGGCGAATCCACATTTAGATCCTCAGAACCTGTTAAAGGATTTGACAGGTATGGTAAATGCCGATGTGGACTTTATCATTGTTTACCGAGTGGGGTGGTTCAAAATATTTCTTCATTTAAATAGCAGTGCATATACATTCTGCATGTTTAGGGGATGTTGAATAGTTCTTGCATATTTTTTTTCTTTGTACACACGTTTTCCTATTGCTCCAAATGTGGTCTTTCGGGTATAAGAAATTAAGTTATTTTTTTTTCTCAGAACCTGTTGCAACTTTGAATTTTAGTGCTCGAATAGTAATAATTTGCTGCTCCGAAAATTGCTCCAAATTCTATTTTGGCTGTATCACCCCTGCTTGTAAGCCATATTTCAGACAAATTACTCCTGGAAATCTCTACTTTTTCTGCAGACTTGTTACGCGTAGGACCTTGTGCCTGAGTTTGTATGATGGCACATGTGCGATTTAAACACCGCAGGCGCCAGAAACACTTGCAAGGGCTAATATCTGCCTAATAATCGCGCTGTATGGACGGTGCACACCACAGAGGTTATTTTGCGTTTCGAGTGCGGAAAATGGTACTCATCAATATCGCCAAACAGAGGCGACAAACACGTGCGATCTATACGTGTTATCAAATTGCAGCTTGCCTGACGATTTTCGTCGCGGCTAAGCGAACTACCAAACAGTAACAAAGAGCAGTCAAACTTGTTCCCACTGTTCGCAGTCTTATACCCCTGTCACACGGTCACCACTAAACTCCGTTGAACACCGTCAATGTAAATCTCCCCTAGGTGGTTCGACGGAGAAGGAGTTGTGGCAGTGTCACACGGCAATGAAAAGGTTGCAACAGTTGGCGCGAGGGGGCTCTGCTGGCGCTGTTTGATTTTCGGAAAAGTATTTTAATTTCATCTCTATTGATTTTTTTGTGAATCCTCGTTCTAGGGTTTTTACAAAAAAACACTATTAAGGAGGTAAGAGGCTCACAAACCATAAAAATATTTTCAAACAAAAACAAATTCGCTAAATGTAGCAATGCTGCTAGTGACGCTGGCCACATTGTGCTTTTAGTTGTTTTGTTGCCTGTGTTCATGTTTGTGTACGAAAGTTCTTGTGCTTCCTTGCCTCGTCAGCGCACATTTTGTGTTCTCCAGCCAAGAGTGACGCAGCGACGACCACAACCACACGCATGGACGAAATATTTTTTAATGGCGCCGGCCGGCCCAACTCGCGAGGCACCACGTGCGAGGCATGGAGTGTAGAGCATCGGTGTTGAGAGTAAGTGAACTCTTGCGGGCGTAAATATATGTAAACAAACACGCGTTGTGAATGAGTACTGCAACGAAAGAACGTTTAAGATTGCCAAAATGTATTATTCTTTCACTGCGGCCACTTAGTGCTCGAAATTTTTCTCTGACCTCTAGACTGCTGGGGACGAGAGTACCTCGTTTCGCTGTGAAGGGAGATTGTTGAACGTCCTTTGCGAAACGCTCCGTTTACCTTCGTTTGGGTAAGGGTGGCCGTGTGACACGGACCGCATCTTCGTTGTCGTAAGGACGAGGGAGTTAAAAGGTCTTCGCGGGTGCCCGTGTGACAGTGGTATTATACACTTCGCTCCCGTAGCCAAACGTGGCCCCCTAGCGGACACTTGGCCATACAACGTCCGACTTTGACGCCAAGGAAAGCGCATGGGGCGTTATCCGGCACATTGGTCACCTACATGCAAAAAAACAAACAGTTTTTTTTTTAATTTGCGCCCTTTCGTTTCCAACAAAACCTCGTTTGACTAAGTTTGTCAAGCTGAAAGAAGTACGCCGAATTCGTTGTTGGAAATCGTATATGTTTCTAACTAAACGATCCGAAAGAAAAAAAAAAGGGGGGGGGGGGAGGGGGAAGGTGGAAGTGGGTAGTCACAGATTCAGCGATACCAGATCGCCATACGAGACTAGTCTAACAGAGGGCTTCAACAGCACTAGCGAGTACGCTCAAGGACTGCGGGGAAAGACACGACAACCACTGTACTTCAATCGACCACGTGGTCTAGCGGTTGTGCAGAGACTTCCTCTGAAGAGCTTGTGTGTGCTTGCCCTAGTTTTTCTAAAATTAATTATAGGGGACTCTGGCCCTGCGATCCTTCAGCGAACATGGACAGTATGAGTATAACATGGATTAGCCTAGGCATCGTGCTTGCGGGTGGCGAATGCGCGTGTGGCTTCGTTTGTTCCCGTGTTTTGGTTTTGTTTCGAAGGAAAGAAGTTTTTCTCTTCGTGACCCGCTTTGGATTGGTAAGCCCTAAAGATTAAGGTGGCGAAGCGTAACTGCCGAACATTTGCCGATTGTTTCGCGACAAAGCAGCTTCAAGCCATGTGAAGCCAGAACGAACGTAAAGTACGAAGACTAAGCAAATACATGTCATACCTAATTTCCATGCTCGCTGAAACGCGATGCTTTGCGGCTCCCATAGACACTAGCACCGGAGTTACCTCTAGTGTATGTTTAGGAAACTATGGTGCTTGCTCGAGTAATATGAAAGCATTCAATCGGTGCCAACTAGCCGAGTCTGTAAAGTATTAAAGGCAAATATGCTAAGTCCAAAATACTAAAAGCAAGAACAGTGTTAAGTCGACGTTGATTGTGCAAATTGCGGTCTGAAGACTGCTACCTTTGTGCCAAGAAAGTGCTTTTGAAATAATAGGGAGTTTTAGTGCTGGGTACGCATTCTCTTGGGGCGATGCGGGCTTGGGAGCGCGCGGCGTTGCGTGCCCAACCCATACCCAACCGGAATGCCTTTAGTTGTCGCCACGGTGGCACGCACACAAACGCAAGCCGCACGAAGGTCACACGTGCTCGCAGCGCCATAGCGTCTTCTCGCGTAAGTATTATTTAATTATTTTTATGATTGAAAATGTAAAATTAAACACACAGTGATTAGGACACTTTTTTTATTGTGTACAGTATCCTGGTATACGAAAAAAAAAATGAAAAATACAAGGTTACTATAACGACAGTGTCGGCGTCTTGTGACACTTCGTGCAACCACAGTCATGAACTTGTTAGCTTACACGTAATGTTTTTGAGATGAAACCAAATAAAAACGTTACTCGTTTGTAATATTGTCGCTGCGCAGTTTTTGCATCAGATGTACAATGCACAATGTTTCTGCAATAACAATGTTGTGGTTCTCTGTTTCAATATAGCTGCGCTAGATGGCGCCACCTATTCAGCTGGTCGGGGCTGTCATATTTAGTTCTATGTTCCAGGCCATATTAGATTTGGTAATCTGGCTGAAACCATGTAATCGCTGTAAGTGCTCGCACTTTGGCTTATTTTAACTCGACGGCTAGAGTATCCGCAGTGCGGATACCGTGAGATCTCGCGAAGGTGGACCTTACAAGGCGGCCGATCCATACTGTCCGAGACTTCGCGCCTTTGTGTTATGCTATTTGTATAGTGGCTAGCCACTATAATATTTGCGCTTAAAACTTAAATGTCAAAGTGGTTGGTCTGGCCTGCCTCGGCTTTGCTTGTCGTGAAGGTAACATGACGCGCCAGCATGTGCGCCGGGGCAGCTTATCTCCGCTATAGAGGCCAGTGGTGGCAGCGTTGTTTATGGGCGCACAGACGCATCGCCCCAGCGATCTTGCGACGCATCTGTTTGGGGCTTCGCGCATGCGCAATACCGCCGGCCCAACGTCTTGCGTACGCAAGCTGCTTGGGTACCCAGCACTAAAACTCCCTGATATCACGTTTTAGCGGTACGCACACGTTAGCGCACTTCAAACCACCCGCCTGAAAACGGCATTTCTCACGTCACTGTTGCCGCGCCCAACAATGCCCGCTTTTCCTGCGTGGTCAGCCGCAGACTCTGGTGGTCACAGACCGAAAGTAGCGGGAGCCACAGTAGAAACTACGGCAACTGAGCGATTGTCTGCTTGCTCGGTTCAACTGGGCCCCGCTAGATGGCACAACCTGTAAAGCCTAACCAGGTGTAAACGAAACATAAACCACTAATACCATTCCCTATAGTAACGCGAAGTGGTTTTTCATCATATGAAGCAGACAAAAAAAGCAAACATCGTTTTATTATCTTCCTTCATGCACGAACATATATTATTGCAGCCATAATTTGATTACTAGCGATTAATTGTAGTCGGACGCTCTCGAGTAATGGGAATCATTTACGAAAATCTCCCACTCGTGTGATCCTTTAGTTTAATTTCTTGCCAAGTAGGGTACTGCTGTTGATAATATTGCCGTTTTAGAAGTTGTCATACATGGAGCTTTCACTCGCAACATTGCGATTAAATCGTGATTGTGATTTGGCTTAAGTGTCCCTTTAAAAGACGGGGCATGCAAATAATGAGTTTGTTGTCGCGACTTCTTGCTTGTACATTGAAGTAGACACTTGTGCCTGAAAGAATACTCCAGCAAGGTCAAAAAGGAAAATCAGCTGCGTTTGGACGTTCGTGAAAGGCTTTGTAGATCACGACTGAAACCAGGAAGGGAAAATAAAGATGCTCTGTTCGGCATGTTCAGCGACCTGAAGTCACTACATCGGCTCTGTGATGCAGTATCTGCATTCTCGAAAGTTCAGACTACTGCAAGAATACATCACCTTAAAATAAATGCTTTTTAGTCATTCTCGTTATGATACATGAAATACAAAATCGGCCAATACTCGTTGCCCTAACGGGTAGGACTTTTGTAACGGTGAAGAAAGAATTCTTATATTACTTATATCTAAAGGCCAGTTCGGTAGAAGAGGCATCGAAAGAACGTAAGGATGAGCGTGAGTAACAAAAATTGGAGTCTCCAAGTGGTCTGTCGCACAATTAGCACATGTTTCACTAAGCAATTGCGAATGAACACGGACGCCAGTGTTACAACAAATACCTAAATTGGCTTTTATTAACAAGTGATAAAAGAACTATGTACACACAAATCAAAGAACGCAAGCAGCTTCAAACACCGTGCCTGGCGAATACGCCGACGAGCAAGGTAAACGCTGTGAAAAGAAGGCGCAAGTCGGGACTATTCCACGCCGAGCCGGAAACAAAGCCGATGACGCAGCACGCCAAGCGGGGACCAGCGCTGCCAGACGTTTTGCTATCGTTTGTCCCACCTTTGCCCAGGTCGTCGGGGTTGGCGTGCACCTGCGATGAAGCACGAAACTCTTACAAATGTGCACTATGTACAGGACTATGAAGGTCTAACGCCCCCAAAACGCCGAATTGATTCGAGAGTTTTCGAATAGGGTACGCAAACCTTTGCGTTAGCGTTTCGCGCCACTGCGTATGCGTCGTACACTAGCGGTTTGCGGGCTCCCGTTAAGTGACTGAATCAGCGTGCGACAGCAACAAACGCTAACATGGCGTACGTTATTCGAAAACTCCCTGTTATTAGAAATGCTGTAGGGCTCCGGAAATTACGACCACCTGGGGGCTTCCAACGTGCACCTAAATTCCTGCACACGGGCCTCAAACATTTTGACCTCCACAAAAAGTGCATCCCCCCACGGCCGAGATTCAATCTCGTGTCCTGCGGGTCAGCAGTTCAGCAGCTTAACTTATACACCACCGTTGTGGGCAGAAGGGCGCACAGTAACCGACTCGCAAGCAAGCGCGACGTTGAGAATATGCAACACGTGCTGCTACAGGAACTACTGACAGCGCATGCTTTCGCAGGCTAGTCATCAGCAAAACATGGACATTTTCAACGGAGGCTCCAAACGCTGGCGTCAGACTTGGCAGTGTAGTTTTTGGGATGGTCGTAAGAGCCCAGAGAGCAACTAGGGAGCCGTCGTTGACAAGGTGAACAAAAATGTGCATTTCCGCCGCGAGTGAGTCTGCAGTCCAGTGAACCAGTCAGCTATCTTTGTATGTAAAGCGATGTAACGTTTACCTAAATATCGAGCATGAATTTCAGGCATTTCGTGGCCGAGAGAGGTCTTCAGAGAAATCGGAACTTTTGACGCGTCGCCGCATTGTTTTTATTTTTATTTATTTTTTTTTCTTTTGTGATTGCACGAGCCTACGACAAACTTCCTGCACCAGCTCCCAGCGACGTGAGCGATTTCTATGTGTCGTTATCGTAAAATTTATCGTGTTATAAGAGAGCCAGTGACAGTAAGTTTGAAGCTATGTTAGTCAGCCAATAAGGGGAACATAAAGGGGGGGGGGGGGGGGGTAAAAGTTCGCAACGTCACTAATATAATGAAAGCATATTTTGTATCAAACTTAGGCGAAATGAACAATGAAGTTGTCGGCAAAACATTTGTCAGTGCCAAAAGTGATTTAGTACACCTTGGTGTTTTAAATGCTGTAAATTTAATGTACAAACCGTGCACTTTGCGAACAGGCAGGAGTATAAAATGACGCAGTTTTCTCACCACCATGGCGCGACCGATGATATTGTGGTGGCCAATAAGGGAGATCATGCTGTCCGTTATGTACACGCGGGCCTTGCCATCAGCTTCGGCCTTGATGTTGCCCAAGTCACCCACGTGCCTGCAGGGAAAGGGTCAAATGCATCATGCGGAAATAAAGGTTAGCAGCGAGGTACACTGCACGCAGGCAGTATGCATCGCTGCAAACAAGAGTTTACTGCAGGGAGGTAAGTCAGATTACACGTAATAAATGCATCTAGGCGCACCATGCATACATAATGCATTAAAAGAACTGAAGGCACAGCCTAGCGCTTGGAATGTCTGCTTGGTGAAGAAAGCTCCACGAAGTAAAATACTTATCAGCAAAGGCTTGCGCAGTACACCGCCCTCCCCTAATCACCTACGAGGAGGAAAGTGGGTGAAAAGTATGCCCCCACACTTTGACGTAGTAAAAGGGAAGGGGGCGCTGCGGAAAGTAAACTTCCCGTTATTGGCGCCACAACACTTTATGTGCTTGAACCTAAAACTTTTTGTTTAACTTATTGTCACCCTCTGGGCAGTAGCTACGTTTCAGCGGTGACGGGTCCTCCATAAGAAAAGAAAAAGTACATTTCACAATGAAATGCGGATGACTGGGCAAGCTGGTTGAAATACACGGTGCACGAAAACAGCTAAAAAAACAATAAAAAGAAAGGCCATACCATTAACAAATAAATTAACCACTCTGGCGAAGCACCGTTTCAAATGTGGTTGTGCACTATTATTCGGGGATACTGGTACTCCGCTTCGCTTAGATACGTGTACAAAGAAAGGGGCTGAAGCTTTTCACGGTTTAGAAAAGGAATCAGTGGTGTTAGCCTTCCGTGGCCTTATCTTGCCCGAAATCGGCTTGCACAGGGTGGCGTCGACTCAATCGCACTTTCTTGTGAAAGTGCAATGTTCTTGTGATTTCTACGAGTGATCTGTTTACAAATGGCATGCGTATATACCTGTTATTTGACTCGAAAACGCTTCATTTGAGTTTTAATAAAGCCTGGCGGAAGTACAGCATCGCTGGTGTCTATGTATTTGATAGAAATGTATGGAACGTTAACGTTAATATGGTAGAAGCTGCAGTACGAAAGATCGCAGAACTAACGAAAGGGAACTCGTCCGTATCTAGCATGAAGTTGCTAAGAAAACTCACGGGTTTCTCAGCATACAACAAAAAAAAGGGGGGAGGGGGGAGGAAATGGTTTGAACTCGCTTCATGAAAAAAAAAAGAAATTAAGTCACTCGTTTTGTATTGCAGCTAACTTCATACAGCTTGCATGGAGTCATCCACGCAGCTGATTTCCTGAACTCCACTTTCGTTTCGAGTTTTCGATTCGCCCTCGCACAGCAATCGGCTAACCCCTCGGCTGGCTCAGACTAAGTAGCGAATACCTTGGAACGTCGTTGGCCCCGGCCTCAAGGAAGTCACAGACCCTGAAGTTACCGTCAACTGAGAAGCATTACTTCCGAGCAAACACTCGTGTGTTGGTTTCGTGGCGTCGTAAACTTCAAAATTGTGAGCGCTGCAAAAATGTGATCACTAAAAAAAAAAAAAAAAACAGGTGGCAGAGGGCTGAAGAAAGTTTATGTGGGAAATAAAAGCAGTATAGAAAATCATGTCAAGCACGTGTCTTTCCTTTGTCTTGCAACGCTGTGGAGGAGATTCAATGAATAAATTGAAGGGACTTAGTGTCAAGGTATACGTGTGCCTTGCGTATTGTGGGAAGTGCGCGCACAAGGTTACGTAATCGCGCCTAAATCAACCACTGGACTGAATACAATACGCAGTGATGAAATCTCACCGTTCGCGGTCTTCCGGACCACCATGGTCTTTGTGCATGGGATTGAAGTGGCCTTTCGTAGAATTGCAGCCTGCAAGCAAGGCACAACGTTACTGCGCGGAGTTTGCTTACTGTAAAATAAACTTGCCATAAACATGCCGACTGCACTTTCAAATAGAAACACCTTCCTCAAGATCAATGAAAGGGTCTAAGGGTTTTTGTTAATCTCTTCAATGCAGCTTTAGCTACTGCAAAGTATTTCCGCGCTAGTTCGTGTGCTAAAATCACAGGAGCCCTATTGAATATGAAAACAATTATTTTCCAAGGAAAGAAAAGGCTGTGTAGTCAATAGCGCAAACAAAACCAAAAAGAGCATGTGCCGTCGCCTCGTAACCCATAGGCTATCTCGCAAATCATTGCATGCAAGTGCAAGGAGTGTTTCAAACTTAAGGGAGCATAAACTTGTGTAGCATATGAAGTCGCACTTGTAGACTTTGCTCCTTTTTGCGGAAACTAATATTAAGATAATAAGGCACGCCACAGAAAAGGTCATTAAATGCTGGTCAAGCACGATAGGTCTACAAAGGCGAGTTCCTGGTTCTCGATTATCTGTGTGGCGGACCTCGGTGGCGAAGATGTGGAATGCTACTTACTTTGAATGCACAGTATGAAGTGAAACAAGCGGACGCACCATTGGTAAGATCCCCGTAAGCGTGCACGTGAAGACCATGGGCTCCTGGCTGGAGGCCGGTTATTTCGCCCGTGATCACGACAGAGTGCTCGACGCTCTGCAAGAAGTGTCACACCAAGGAATGTAGTTACAGGCAAAGCAGGGCAGTAGGAGCGAGCGCTGCAAATAAACTTTGAATTGGACGCATGACAACAGTCTTGAATTTTATTTAATATCAGTCCCAGCTAGATTAGTTCGCTAGCTATTTCAACTGAAGCAGCTTTTAAGGGTGCTATCGCGGAGCGACATCTTATTCTTTGCCTGTCATGCCATCCACCACTCGCGGCCAGCTGATAACGTGAACGGGCGTGCAGTCGCTCAGTCCACTGGACAACCGCAAAAAAAAAAAAAAAGCATTGGCATCTGAAAAGGCATCGCCTCGCGATCGGCAGTGCGTGGTACGTGATAACCACCTAACGTGCACGTGACTTGTAGAAATGGGTGAAGACGGTCTGTTGCCATAGGCAACGATGCTGGAAATCGGGAGAAGGTGGCGCCCATCTAATTTTCCGCAGTCGCATACCCGAGCCAGCACCAACCCGCACTCGGCAACCCTCGACGGGCGTCGCACGCCGTCTCGTGGTACAGCGCACGTCACGTGGCAACTCACCGTCACGCGGGAAGTCAGCTTCATTTATCGGCTCCGACAAATGACTGTGCAACTTGCAAGCGGATGAAGTGGACTTTTTTTTTTGTTTTGAGACTGTGCAATCTCATGCGGACCAGAGGGCACGTTTGACAGAGAACTAAGAGTAGGACACGCGGTGCCAAGTTCCCCGAGTGTGTTGGTTCCGTGGCGAAATGCCAAGTAGGCCGAAGCTCTCTCTGTGTGTGGGAGAAGAAAAAAACATACTGGTTAACGATGCTGACCCGAAATGACTGGCCGAGGTCCCGAAGCAAGCGGATGGTCGAACACCGGCAGCAGAGTGCGGAGGTAAGTGAAATACGTGGTACAGAAAGGGTTAGAACGACGCTTCTGGTGAGTTTTCGGTTAGGTGGATAGATAAGGTAGCTATGCTCGCGAAATTATCATCATTCTGGGTAAGTCGAGTAGCAACGGCAAAACCCGAGGCAGCTACAGTGCGATGCTGTTTGTGCGTACTGCACAACAAAGCGTCACTGAAATCAGATTACCGAAGCAGCGTGCTTTTTTGTGTGTGACACCAGACATGCCGCGGCACAGGCTGACAGGTAGAAAAGAATGCGCAGTGCTCGTTCTCGAGCTTCCCTGGTAGCCACGAGAAGACGCCGTGGTGGTCAGGCGCTCCCATGGCCTCCAAAATTTTGGTCGCCAGTGTACGTAAAGTTGCGCACCACGTCAAAAAATTGTTAACCGTCATGAGTTGCTAGCGGTGTCCGTTGTTCCGAGGATGCCCAGTTGTGGACGAGTGTTTCTCCTGGTGCGAAAAAAAGAATGGTTGCGAAAGTGAAAAGAAAACATGGTAGACAGTTGGTTGTACTGTGGTTGTATATGAAACACCGCTGACGCGCGGCGAGGCGTATATAGGCCTGATGGGTCGTAATAATGACCGGGCAGTGGAGCATTCGCGAGCTGTTAAGAGCGGGGATTTGGCAAAGTACTGGGCAAGTGGCGGGACACGTAAGCCGAAAGGGTGTGAAATATTCTGGGCAGAGAGAGGGATGAAATAGCAAGGTACTAGAAGCATATGCAGGAAGAGGAGGTATGTGGGTCCGTGACACATGGGCGAAGCTTTGGAAAACAGAAACTCAGGATACTGATACTACTCTGAAGTAAAAACGTGGTTGACAATGCATTTGACTATGTGAGCATGCGTTTTTCTGGATATATTTGCGGGCGAAGACAAAGAGCTAGGCGACAGTAGCGATCGTTACTTCTCCTATTCTTGCGAATGTCTTGTTTGCGCTCGAAATTCTCGTTAGCCGAAAAGGAGAGAGCCTCTCGAAGCGGGGCACGCCGATAGGGTCGTGTATAATGCGTTTCTCAGCGGATTGTCGATCACGGCAAGTGCACCCTACAGAATAAACGCGGCGAGAAGATTCGTGAAAATCTATAGGCAATCTTGCGATTATTTTTTTAAGCTGGTGCAACTTCGTGAAATCTATGAAAGCAGAGGCATCCGTGCGGGCAACTGTGACTACCGTGATAAAGTCGAGGGAAAGGGCAATCAATATCGGCGAATAAACAGTCACTGACCACTGGCCAAGCGCGTACACCACGAAGTTCATTGGGATCGTAAAATGACATGGTTCTGTCATTGTACCCTAGTGCGAGAGCATACCATAAAGTCTGCGCTTGTTACAGCTGGAGACTCCATCCGCGTGATGGAGTTTCGTCTGCAGGGAGCCTATACGTGAAGAATAAAAGCCAAGCAGAAGATACGGGCTAAGCAGTGAGCGTGAACTGCAATCGCCAATCGATAACCGCACTGCATGGCACGAGCGGACAGTTTCGTGGTAGGACGGCGATACTGGCCTCTGTTCTCAGCCGTTTTCGCAATATAAAAACCAATTTCAAGAATACAAGTTTATGAGGGGGATGATGGTCCCATGTTTCATGATGTGCAGGCACATGGTGGACGTTCACAAATACCGTTGGCTTTTGGTTATAAACAATACTTCGCGCTATTGAGTGAAAGCGCCTGATCATTCTAACGGCGTTTTTTTCGCTCGGAAAGTTGGCTTTACATTTTGAAGGTTCAGCAGCACGGTCGAAGACGACACATGAGCGCTAACTGGTCCGATCATTTTTCATTTGAGACCTGAGAAACGTTTTTTAGAGGTCATTTTGACAACAGAAGCAAGAAAAAAAATGCTAAGGATAAAGTGAGACAAGACGAGACTCACTAGGACCAGCTTAGTCCTGATTAAGCACTCAGAACTTTTTGTTGACGTAATCAAGGGACGTAAAAAGATTATCGAAAAACAGTTTGTGCCCAGTTTGTTTACCGTATAAGATAACGTAGCATCCCACCAGGCGTTGTACGCTTATCTCTTTGCCGTTGCCGGGGCTGGAAATGTCGTTAGAAGCATGCCGTTAGCCAAGTTTGAAAAAACCGTGAGCATATTCCTGTACACATTAATCACAGACACCTGCACGAAGCGTTTCCGTAACTGCTTGGCCTATAGTGCAGCAAAGACCAACGATTATGGGGATTATGGTCGACTTTTTTTTTATATAACTACAAATCGTTCGCCGGTTCGGAGCAGCCTAAACCAGGAACTGTTTAATAGAGAGCTGGAACAAAGATCAAGAACACAAGTGCGCAATGTTGTGATAAGTTTTCTTATTTGTGTCATCGAATGCCGAGCGTAATTAATGCTAATGGCTGATTAAAATAAGGGAAAGGGAATTAAGGACTTGGTTTAATTAAGTTGCGTCTAATAAAAAAGAAGACATTGAAGTCAAAAACACAGAAGACGTTATTTTTAGTCCTGCTGTACCGTAATCATGACAAGAATTAACAGGATTGAATATGCACGAAAAACAAACCCGCCAGTAGGAACGGAACCTGTGACCTTCGTATAACGTGCCCGATGCCCTACCAATACAGCTGCGTGATAAAGAGAAAGGTGACGGACGACAGAGAAAGACTGACATCTGCGATGAAAACGCAGCGAGAGTATATATATATATATATATATATATATATATATATATATATATATATATATATATATATATATATATATATATATATATATATATATATATGTGTGTGTGTGTGTGTGTCGGCATTTTAAGTTTTCCGCAAATAATTTGACAACTTATTTGTTCGAAATGCGGTGTACAGGAGAGCACATTGAGGTGGTTGGCACACGTTCCAGTAATGAGAATACAAGCACGCACACAACCAAATACACAATAAGCTAGTTTTTAAGTGCGAAGCACTCTGTAGGGACTGGGCTCCTTAGCTTGGCGTAACATATATAGGCAAAACCACGAAGAACATACATGTATAGAGGCATAGTGAGCTTTTGCTCGCGCGAAGGAGAAACTGAAAATAAAGGGGCAAACCGAAGGAGGCTCCCCAGCTCCGCACTCCTTTTTACAGAGATGAGCGCACAAGGGCAGCGTGCGCAGTAGTTGTCAGCCACCGGTGTCCGTTACCACTATCACGCAAAATAAAAAAAAAAGTACAGAACACAAGGAACACAATAGAATTCCAACCCGCGTCCTCTGCGTGCCAGTCCAGTATTCTACCACTGAGCCACGCTGGTGCTGCAAACTGCGTAGCAATCTGGCCTTTGGCGAAGGAATCGCGTTTTGCATAACGAGGGTCGCCGAAGAGGCCGCTCTTCCAGCTTCCACTGCACGTTTCACGCGGACCTCACGTTTATTATTTTTTTCCTGTGTACGTACACCTGCTTCATTCTGTTGAACGCGAACAGACCGTGTTCAAATTAAGATACACGACTTTTGGCTTCATTTGAGCATTGTTGGTATATCTGTTGGATAGGAATGTGGTCTGAACGCAGAACTGGTGAATTAATCGACAGATGCCCCGATTTAATGGGGTGAAAAACATGTAGTTATATATTTTTTAGCGAACTTCATCAGGCGAATGAGAATGAAGGTATATGAATCACATACTCCTTTAAAAGGAGTATGTGGTCACACAATGATATTGTATGCTGTGATTTAGGTTTTTTTGTTTTTTGAGTGCCGTGCAATTCAACTTGTCCCCACTGATTTAAATGTACTTTGAATTTGTAAACCGCCCTACAACAATGCCCCCAGAGGGCGCTGTGGGTACAAGTATAAATAAATAAAGAATTAAATAAAATAAGTAAATAAATAAAATAAAAGTGGTCCAACCAATGTCTGCTGACGTAATGGAAAATTTGAGAGGAAGGAATACGGCATTCAACCTGAACTATTCGCTGCATATAACTGAAGCAACGAGGTATCGAGAGACACCAATTCGCTGCTTGGTTTTTTTTAGGGGCGAAGCTTCTTAGGCCTCCTCTGTAGTAGTAGTAGTAGCTGTAGTAGTAACCACCTCTATATAGTTTGAGTTGCTCAATAGATGGCGTGCCGTGTACATGTCTTTGGTGATGATATAACTAGATGGCGTT